ACCATGGTTTGAGTCCTGGACCTGGTGGCTTGCTTTCTCACTCTCCCTCTTTCTCTCTCTTGTCTTTGGCAAAATTCATGTGAAAAATAATAATAACAGTAATAAGTAATTCTTTAAAAAAAATAATAGTAATTCTTAAAAAAAAAAAAATATGGAGGGACCAGCTGATGGTGTAATGGTTAGGTCACTGGACTCTCACAAAGTCGACCACGGTTTGAGCCCAGACCTGGAGACTTAAAATTCATGCTGGGCGCATGTGCATCTGTGTCCAAAATTCCAAGAGGAGAATGAAGGAGAAGGGACTGTTGTGCGGCCATCCCCCCTCGGGAGTGATTTCTCGCTGTCTGTCTCTGGCAAGTGCACATGTCCTATAGCAAAAAACCTCTCTTAAAAAAAAAAAAAAAAAAAAGATAAAATGAGGCTTGTAAAATGAGCCACAGGTGGCTGAGTACTGAGCCGTGGGGCTGCAGGCCCTAGGGCCAACTGTGGCTTCGGGTTTCAAGTCAGACTGAAACTCACAGGGTGCACAGGTGCCCAAGATCCTGCCCAGCTGGAGGGCTGGGGAAAGGGGTGACAAGACCCGCTGAGGGAACCTCCTTGTCTACCTCCCTCTCTCTCCGTCCCTCCTGTACTTGCATATTCTTTCCCTCACAAATAAAAATAAATGTAACTTTTGAAAAAATGGTTAACATGGGGCCAGCAGGTGGAGTGGAGGTTAAGGTGCTGGATCTTAGAGGACTCTCCAATTTGAGTCACCGACCCAGCGGCTGGAAAATCGCACCAGGCGTGTGTTCGCGTGTGCCCAAAATTCTGGGAGGAGAAAGGAGGAGAAGGGATTGTGCTGTGGCCAACCACCCTGGGGGGTGACTTTGTTCTTTCTCTATGTCTCTCTCTCACAAGCTCATGCACCCTATGACACTTAACCACTATGCCACCTGCTGGCCCCAAATAATCCTTTTAAAAATTTAATATACAAGTACTAAGAAGATATAAATTGAATCAAGAAGTAAAATACAAAATGAGGGTGAGCAGGTATGATTAAGACACTGGATCCCACACAGTGGACTCTGTGGTTCAAGTTCCAGACCCAACGAGCAGGAAGGACACAGCAGGCACATGTGTGTCCACACCCAAAATCCTGAGAGGAGTCTGCAGGAGAAGGGATTGCAGTATCACTCCCTCTGGGAGTGATTTCTATTTTTGGGGGGGGGAGAGGTATTTAGCTATATGGTGCATGCGCTCACCAGAAAGACAGAGACAGAGAGACAGAAAGCGAGAAATCACCTCCCAGGGGGGAGGCCATGCCACAATCCCTTCCCCTCCATTCTCCCCTTGGGATCTTGGGCACACACATGTGTGCCCGGCATGAGTTTAAGCCAGAGGTCCGGGACTCGAACAGCGGTCAACTACATGGGAGGCCAGTGACATAGCCATCACGCTAACTGCTGGTCCCCGTCTGAGAGTGATTTCTCACATTCTCTTTCTGTCTTCTGAAAGTGCATGTATGCTATGCCCCCCTCAAAAAAAAAAAAAAAAAAAAAGATAAAATGAGGCTTGTAAAATGAGCCACAGGTGGCTGAGTACTGAGCCGTGGGGCTGCAGGCCCTAGGGCCAACTGTGGCTTCGGGTTTCAAGTCAGACTGAAACTCACAGGGTGCACAGGTGCCCAAGATCCTGCCCAGCTGGAGGGCTGGGGAAAGGGGTGACAAGACCCGCTGAGGGAACCTCCTTGTCTACCTCCCTCTCTCTCCGTCCCTCCTGTACTTGCATATTCTTTCCCTCACAAATAAAAATAAATGTAACTTTTGAAAAAATGGTTAACATGGGGCCAGCAGGTGGAGTGGAGGTTAAGGTGCTGGATCTTAGAGGACTCTCCAATTTGAGTCACCGACCCAGCGGCTGGAAAATCGCACCAGGCGTGTGTTCGCGTGTGCCCAAAATTCTGGGAGGAGAAAGGAGGAGAAGGGATTGTGCTGTGGCCAACCACCCTGGGGGGTGACTTTGTTCTTTCTCTATGTCTCTCTCTCACAAGCTCATGCACCCTATGACAAAAACCAAACCAAACCAAACCAAAACAAAAGGTTCAAATTGGTTAACCTTTACATAATGCACATTCTGTAATTAAAATAATAATGATAGAGAAAAGGAGCAGTCCGCTGTTTTCTACGTGCAAGCACACACGGAAGGCTGCCGGCGATTGCCCTGATTTCCCAAGTTCCTGTGAAGTGTCGTGGACAAGGCTATGTCCACCGCGTGGAGCAGAGGCTTCCCTGTCACAGCAGAGCGTCCCTCTCAAGGCTCCTGCACCTTGCAGACCTTTGACCATGTGGCTCACTGTTTCTATTCATAAGTGTTTTATTTAAAAACACTGAAGCTAGACCAGTAGGTGGTGGATCCCACAGGGCCAACCACAGCTCAAGTCCCAGACCCAGAGGCTTGAAAATCAATCAGCCAGGTACGTGTGTGTGAGCCCAAAATCCCAAGAGGAGAGTAGGGGAGAAGGGACCGTAGTGTGGCCATCCCTGGGAGGGGTGACTTTTCACTTTCCCTCTCTCCCCCCAGCCCGATTCTGGTGAGCGCATACGCCCTATAGCAAAAAAAAAACAAAAAAGAAGCCAATGAACAGAACCAGGTCAACAGAATCACTTACATTTAGGGTCATTAGATAATGCTGATTTCACCTACTCTTCCTGCTGTCCTTCCTCTTTTTGGGGGGAGTAGGAGAAAGGTTTTTGCTACAGGGCACATGCGCTTGCCAGAGAGACAGAGGCAGACAGAGAGACAGAAAGCGAGAAATCACCCCCCAGGGGGCATGGCCACACCGCAATCCCTTCTCCTCCATTCTCCTCTCAGGATCTTGGGCACGCACGCACACGCGCCCAGCACGAGTTTAAGCTGCCAGGTCTGGGACTTGAACCGCGGTCGACTACGTGGGAGTCTAGCAACGTAGCCATTACACGAACTGCTGGTCCCACCTGCCATCCTTGGAAAGGGCTGTTTTCAAAGTGACCTTTGCCCACCATGTACAGTCTGGCGTGCCTGGGCTCAGGGTAAGGGCTAGGCTGGCAGACTGCAGTGGGCAGGCCTAGGCCCCATGCCAGCTCGACCACTTCCCGGCTGGCCAGTTTGGGACAGGCGCCCTCACCCGTCCCCGAAGTAGCTAAGGCAGCATCCTTAGGGCACTCTCACCTCATCTGGCTCTGCTCTTCAGGCTTTGCTCAGTGCCTGGCAGTGCTGGGTGGCACCCCGGACGTGTCCAGGGGACACGGTACTCTGAGAAGTCACATCCCACCCTTTCTGGGGGGATGGCCCCACCCGGAAGCCCCAGACCTCCGGCAGAACGCAGCGTCGGCCTCTGCTCAGGCTTCCCGACCGCCAGCCCAGGGTGAGGGCCCGCGGGAAGCCGGTGGTCTACCTTGATGATGACGCGCTGGTCCGACTGGTCCTCCAGGATGCTGTCTGTCGGGTAGGACTCGATCTGCTGCCTGATGGCGGAGGCGATGGCCGGCACGAACGTGAGCGGGTTCAAATCCAAGTCGTCACAGAGGATCTCCGAAAACATCTCGGGCGTCATCAGCTTCTCTGAAATCGGGAGCGGGGAGAGATTGCTGACAGACCGCAGGGCCTCACTCGCCACGCGGGGCCTGGCCTGGCCTCCCCCACCCCTTCCTCTTCTGCCAAACCTCGCTGGATCCGGGTGAGGAGGGCCAGGGCAATGAGGCAGGTCCTCCCAGACACAGGGTGGGAGGAGGGAGCCCATGGTGAGCACCCTCTTCTCCCTCACACCCCTGGGGGTGTTAAGGCCCTGCATGCAGCCCCAAACCAGGTCCTCTGTGTGCCCTCGTTGCTGGGGGGCGAGCACGTGAAAAGTTCTATAAGTCTTTTTTAAAGAGAATGATTTATTTAGGGACTAGCAGATGGTGTTACGGTTATGTCGCTGGACCTCCCACATAGACAACCACAGTTACAGTCCCGGACCCAGTGGCTTAAAACTCACACTAAGCACGTGTGTGTGTGTGTGTGCGTGTGTGTGCCCAAAATCCGAAGAGAAGAATGGAAGAGAAGGGATTGCAAAGTGGCTATCCCCCTGGAAGGTGATTTCTTGCTTTCTGTCTCTCTGGCGAGCGCACATAACCTATAGCAAAACACTCTCTAAAATAAATAAATAAATAATAAAAGAATTATTTAATGTTATTTTTACTTATTTACTTACTGATTTTTAAACTACTATTATTAATTTTTTTAATTTGACCAGACAGAGACAGAGAGAAAGAGGGAAAGTGAGTAAACGAGCAGCCAGGTCCAGGACTTGAACCAGTCAGCCTCGTGGGGAGTCTGGCACCTTAACCACCACGCCACCTGCCAGCCCACATGAACAGTTCTAACCAATGGGTTTTTTTTTTTTTGAGAGTTTTTTTCACTCTAGGGCGCGTGCATTCGCCAGACAGACAGAGAGAGACATAGAGACAGAAAGCGAGAAATCACCCCCCGGGGGGGATGGCCACGCCGCAATCCCTTCTCCTCCATTCTCCTCTCGGGATCTTGGGCATGCACGCACATGCAGCCGGCGTGAGTTTTAAGCCACCGGGTCCGGGACGCGAACCGCGGTCGACTACGTGGGAGTCCAGCGACATAGCCATTACGCCAACTGCTGGTCCCAACCAATGGGTTCTTTGCATTAGGGAAAGCAAAGGCACTTCGGGGCTGACTCCACCCCTCCCGTCCATGCTGGGCGGCACCACGATGGCAGCTCACCTCCATGGCAGACCCCTGTGAGCAGGACACACCGTGCCAAGCCTCAGAGGGCCCTGCTCAGTCCCACGAGTTCTCCCGGCCCTGCCTGGCTCCTGTACTCACTGACGAGACCTCACTGGGATCCGCCACAGACCAGAGAAAGCGAAGGAATTCCTTTGCAAGCAGATGGCAGGATTCCATCACCAAGAAGCGGGCACTTAACAGATGACCAGCCCCGTTATTCCTCCCTGCCCGAGTAGCAGGGCAGAGACCAGCCATGCTCATAGGACCCCAGCACAGGCCGGCCTAGGGACAGGAGCTCCTCCTGCGAGCAGGTGCACTCTGAGATTGCAGCAGGAACCTGACGTGCTCAGCCTAAGCCCGAGAGCACGGTCTTCGCTGCCAGAGGCCACGTGTGCCCAGCAGAGAGGGGACAGGGAGAAAGTGCCCCACCACGGGGCGAGGTCACACTGCAACCCCTCTTTTAATTCTCCAGACCATTGGCATTCTAGGCACTCACATGTGCCCAGCTTAACTTTACAAGCCACCGGGGCCAGGACTCATGTAGTCGGCCAAGGGGGTTCTGGCTTCCTTAACCATCAGGCCATGGAGCAGGCCTGCCCACTGCATTTTCAAAGAGTAAACTTTTTCTTTTTTTTTAAAGAACTATTTATTTTGGGGCCCAGCAGGCGGCATGGTAGTTAAGATGCTGGAATTCCCACATGGCTGACCACGGTTCGAGTCCCAGACTTGGTGGCTTGCTTTCTCCCTCTCTCTGTCTTTCTTCCTCTGGTAAAACTCATATAAAAAAATAAAATAAAATAATTTTTTAAAAAAGAATGATTTGTTTTATTTAAGAACATTTTATAAATTTGCTATAGGACAGATGAGCACACCAGAGAGAGACAGAGAAAGTGAGACAGTAAACTACCAGGTCCGGGACTCGAACCACGGTTGGTCATGTGGGAGGCCAGCACTCTGACCACCGTGCCACCTGCTGACTCCTAAATGACACTTTTTATTTCGAGGTGGTCATAGTGTTATATGAAGTTGTTAGAGCAACGGAGGGGGCCGGACGTGGTGCATCGGTAAGGCAGTATTTTGCAAGGCTGGCTCACGTGGGAGGTTCCAGGCTCACACCGAGAGGCCTTTCAGGGTAAGCTGCGTGCATGCATGCCCGTGAGCCGGGACTGGCTAAGGTGGGCTGGGCCGCAGCACCGAGGCTACTGGGGATGCCTCTCGCTCTTGCTCTTTTTCTCCCTCACTCATAAAAAAATGAGTAAACCCAGTTTCTTGTGGTAACATCTCACAAATCAAGAGCACCGTCACAAAGCCAGGACCCTGACAAAGGCGAAGCAAGACGTTTCTTTCTGTCAATTTGTTTTGTAGAGTTTTTTTGGGTTTGTTTGTTTGTTTGTTTTTTGCCTTAGGGCACATGTGCTTGCTGGAGAGAGAGAAACAGAGACAGTGAGAGAGGAAGCAAGAAATCACTCCCCACGGGGGATGACCATGCCACAGCCCCTTCCGCTTCACTTTCCTCCTGGGATTTTGGGCACGCACACACACGTGCCCGGCATGAGTTTCACCACTGGGCCGGGGACTTGAACTGCAGCCAGCCATGTGGGTGTACAGACGTGTAACTGCTACGCCATCTGCTGGTTCCTCTTTTTATACATTTTTGTTTGTTAATTGGCCAGAGGGCAAATGCACTTGACAGAGAGACGAAGAGAAAGCATTTCTCATGGGGAACAGTCACACTGCAATCCTTCCTTCGGTTTCTCCCTCCTTTCAGGATTTTGGGCACACTTTGCACACGCCTGGTGTTTTTTCAAGGCCCTGGGTCCAGGACTCGAACCAGGAGGTTGGCCATGTGGAATCCGTCTGCCTTAAACACTGGCCACGGGCTGGCCCAAGATGCAGGATGTTTCTATCACTATCAGGACCCTCCTACGGCTGTGCTATAGCCACGCTCACTCCCCCCACCACATTCCCACCCCCCAACCCCTGGCAACCACTAATCTCCATTTCTATAACTTTATCCTATCAAGAATGTTGGGACCAGCAGTTGGCATAATGGCTATGTCTCTGGACTCCCACGTAGTTGACCACGTAGTTGACCACGGTTTGAGTCCTGAACCCAGTTGCTTAAACTCACGTCGGGCGTGTGCGTGCATGCCCAAGATCCCGAGAGGAGAATGGAGGAGAAGGGATTGCGGCGTGACCATCTCCCTGGGGGGTGATTTCTCGCTTTCTATCTCTCTGCCTCTCTCTGTCTTTCTGGTGAGTGCACGCACCCTATAGCAAAATCCTCTCCGAAAAAAAAAAAAAAAAGAAGAAGAAGAAGAATGTTGCATGAACAGTGTGCAACTTTTGTGGATTAGCTTTTTTCACTAAGCAAAATTCTCCTGAGATTCATCCAGGTGGTCCCTTCCTTTGGATTGCCAAGTGGCAGTCCACGGTACCATCGGACCACATTTTAACTCTTCACCCACCGAAGGACGACTAGGTTGTGTCACTTTCCAGCTATTACGAATAAAGCTGAACTATGAACATCCCTGTGGAGGCGTCTGTGTAATCCTAAGTCCTCCCTTCTCTGGGATAAATGCCCAGGAGTGCAACTGCTGGGTTGTATGGTGGTTAAATATTTAGTGTTAAAACAAAACGACCAAAATATTTTCCAGAGCAGCTGAGCCACATTCTATCCCCACCCGTGGTGTCTGGCCCAGTTCCTCCACATCCTCACCAGCATCTGGTGGTGTCACTACTTTTTATAGGTGTGGAATGATGGAGTTTTCATTTGCGATTTCCTAATGGCTAATAGCCCAGACCAGCTTTCCGATGTTTACCTGCCATCTGTGTATCTTTTTTGGTGAAATGTCTCTTCCGGTCCTTTGCCCATGTTCTAAGGGATTTTTTTTTTTTTTTTTTTTTTTTTCTCTTAGAGACCGTCCGCATTTTGGCGCATGCGCTTGCCAGACAGACAGAGATAGAACGTGAGAAATCACCCCCCAGGGGGGATGGCCACACCGCAATCCCTTCTCCTCCATTCTCCTCTCGGGATCTTGGGCATGCACGCACACGCGCCCGTTGTGAGTTTTAAGCCACCGGGTCCGGGATGCAAACCATAGTCGACTACGTGGGAGTCCAGTGACATAGCCACTACGCTAACTGCTGGTCCCTAAAGGATTATTTTTTTCACTGTTGAATTTTGAAAGATTTTATCAAAGAATTATTTAATTTTATTTATTCATTCATTTATTTTAATTTAACCAGAGGGGAGTGGGGAATCAAGCCACCAGGCCTGGGACTCAAACTATGGTTGGCCATTTGGGAGTGTCCAGAACCTTAACCACCATGCCACCTACTGGTCCCGAGTTTTGGAAATTCCTTTTCTTTTGCCTTTTTTTTTTTTTTTTTTAAATGAGAGAGAGAGAGAGAAAGAGAGAGAAAATGAGAAAGCAAGTTGCCAGGTTTGGGACTCAAAAAACGGTTGGCCATATAGGAGTTCAGCAATGTAACCGTGACGCCATATGCTGGTCCCTGAAAATTCTCTGGATAGTCTAGATTCCAGTCCTTTTGTCAGGTATGTGGTTGCTAAATAGTTTCTCTCACTCTGCAGTCTGTCTCTTGCCCATTAATAGGATCTTTGGCAGAGACACGGTTTTCACTGTGATGAAGTACAACGTCTCAGTATTTCGTTCTGTTTTAGGTGCCTTGGAACTTTGCCTAGCCTCAGATCTCAACGATTTTGGCTTTTTCTTTCCTCCCAAAGGTGTACAGGGGTATGTATCACATGGAAGTCTGAGATCAGTTCCGAGTTCGCTGTGGTAGAAGGGGAGGCTGTTGCC